TCTCTCTCTCTCTCTCTCTCTCTCTCTCTCTCTCTCTCCCTCCCTCTCGGGTCTTTTTGAAATGGGGTTTCCCTATAGCCCCTGGAACTCACTATATAGACAGGATGGCCTTGAACTCACAGAGATCTGCCTGCCTCTGCTTCCCAAGTGTTGAGACTACAGGAGTGCATCACCACGCCTGGCTCTCAAATCTCTTTTAATCCTCAGATTACACGAGAAGTTTCTACTTGGTACTGGCTTGTCTTTCACAACCTCAAATTCTTGCCACCCACCAAAATTTAAGTAATACTGATCAAAGCTTGTTCAGGTAAGAAAGTTATGCCAAGATCCAATCTCTTAGGCAAAACCTGAACCTCAAAGACATGTGGTGACTTAACCAAGGACTCAGATCACTGTTCGTCCCCCATTGGCAGCCTAACATGTATGCTTACTGTTTAACTCAGTAATTGTATAGAGTAGACTTATGGGAGAGTTCCATGACATTTCAGTGCAGCATGTGATGTGTAATAACCACATCGGGGTGCCTGGCATATCCATCACCCCAAACATTGATTCTGTCTTCATGTTGGAGCTTTAAGGTCTTTTCCACTAGCTATTTTGAAATATTTTTTGTTAATTTTTGTTAAGCATGGTAACTGTGCTGGATAGCTTCAGTTGTCAACTTGACACACCTGGATGAAGGGAACCCCAATTAAGGAATTTCCTCCATTGGATTGGTCTGTGGCCATGTCTGTGGGGCATTTTCTTCATTTCTGAGTGACGTAGGAGGGCCTACCCTATTGTGGGACATACCACCCCAGGCAGGTGGTCCTGTGTTGTTTAAGAAAGCAGGCTGAGCACAGGCCAATAAGCAGCATTCCTCCATGGTCTATGCTCCAGGTTCCTGCCCTGAGCCCCTACCCTGGCTCCCCTCAATGATGAACTATAACCTGTAAGGTGAAACAGGCCCCTTCCTCCCCAAGCTGGTTTTGGTCAGCATTTTTATCACAGCAATAGAAAGAAACTAGGACAGTTACCCCACAGGCAATAGACCACAAAAAGTTGTTCTTCCTGTCCGACTATAAACTCTGGTACCCACCAGTGTCTTTCCCAGCCGCCTCTTCGCCATACCCTTCCCAGGTTGGTTATTCTATCTGAGCTTCTAGAGTGGAGTGAGATCCTGACGTATTTGTCTTTCTCCATCTGTACAATTCAGTGTTCAAGGAATACAATTCTGTTGATAGAGAAATCCTGTGCTATATACCATTGGGAGATGCCCAGGAGACTCAGTATCTTATTCTGACCCAACTCCCATGAAGGCAAGGGAGGCACAGAAAGTAACAGAAAGAATTAATCACCCAAAGAGTTAGACTCACTGGTTCTGGAAACAAATATAAAAGTCACATGAGAAGCAACTTAGTTCAAAGGAGAAAGAACTTTCTCAGACTCAGGCTTGAACTAGCTGGGTCAGGAAACAGCCAGAGTTGTTTAGGCTTACCCTCAATGGTGCATTCATTTTAAGCTCAAGATACTATTTTTCCTTCTTAGAGCTGGCTTTCCCAACCACATGTGAACAGACTCCTCGCTGCACACTTATGCTTAGAGGCAGAACTCTAGTGCATAAGGATGCTTCCAACCTTGAAATCCTAACATGTCTTCAGGCAAGTGGGGGGACAAATTGTCTCCTGATCTCTTCCTCCTCCTCCAGTATCAGGAGGAGAGGAGCTGAGCCAGATGAGGATATCAAATGTGAATGGAGATTAAGTTTTGGAGGAAATGGTGTGCCTTGGCTCTGGGGAAGAATCACTCTAGGCCAACAGCATGCATCCTCTACTTTGCTGCTGAACTTATAGTCTGACCACTCAAGGTTCAGCCACCAGGACTCAGCTCAGCGATCTATCAGAACACCTCTGGCATTTGTGAAACAGGAGCATCTCTCAGCCCACCTCTTGTATGAGTCTCTAGTTACAGGCTGATTTTGACACTAGAGACCCTAGAGACTGTCTTTTGCCATATACTGTCTAGTTGTATCTGAGGCAGGTGATCTCAAAGAAATGTGGGCAGTGGGATATACAAAGGATGCTCTCTTGGAGGATGTGGTATGGTCCTGGATGTACCAGAAATCACTACCCATGTGACATTTCTGAGAAGAAAGGACAGAGACCTAGGATTCCAGAGCATGAAATAATAGATTCATAGACTGTCTAAAACACATGCTCTTAATAGTTGAATAAGAGAAATATAAAATAATAGAATATATTAGCAGGAGAACCTCATGGCTAAAGAATCTGTGTTGGTTTGACTTCCTTACCTAGTGACTCGATGCCTGACCTGGAATTACTTAACCTCCCTCAGTTTGTTTTCTCACTCACTGGACAGACATACTGGTCAGTATAACACACTGCTTCAATTTTTTACAGTATATAAATGCATCTACACATTTAAAGAATATGGTGAGATAGACTTAGTGTCTGTGCCCAACCCCAAATCTATACTGAAAACCAACTCCCACTATGATGGCATCAGAGGCGTAACCTTTGGAAAGTGATGGGGTCCTGAGTGTGGAGCCCTCCTGAACTCCCCAATGGGATTAGAGACCTTACAAAAGAGACCTCTGATAAGTCTCTTCTCTCATATGAGGATGCAATGAAACCGTGCTGCTTAGAAACCCGGAAACAGGCCCTCACCACAAGCCTGCTATTGCTTTGAGCTTGAACTACCTAGTCTCCAGAACTACGAGAAACAAATTTCTACTGTTTATAAGGTTCCAAGCCCATGGTGTTCTGTTATAATATTCAAATGAATTAAGGCACATGGCATTGAACCTGGCACCAGGTGTTCCACTGATCATTAGCAGGGTGATAGAATTTCAGAGCTATAAGTAACCATAGAGTCACCTAGTGAACCCAGTGCTCATCTAGTAACACCCAGCACACCCCCTGGATGTGGGGTGGCTTCCCTGTGCAGCTTCCATTGCCCCCTGGGGGCTAACCTCCTCCAGACCCATCAAGCCAAGGAAAAGGGACCTTAACCCTCCAGGGAGTTTGGAGGGCCAAATCTCAAGCTCACCTTGTGTTCCAGTCACTTTGAAGAGCTCACAACAATATCCAGCTGTCTGTGGGTACCAGCAGGCTGCATCCTCCCTCCCCTTTCCCTTGTATTTAATCAAAAGTGTATTCAAAATATGATTCTAGGAGATTATAATGGAGATTTGCAGGAGGCTCTCAGTGTGGGCAGAAAGAGCGGGAACAGATTGTGGCTGAGGGTCTGAGGCTGGGATAATCGCAGGCTCAGATGTGCCATTCACAGGTCCTTCTTTGGATCCCAGGAGCTCACCACCAGTTCCGGGGGAGACTTTGAGCAACGAGTTGGTTGGAGAACTAGCAAATCCCAACCCTATCCTGCCTCCTTTTCCTAGGGTTCACCCTGCCCTCATGGGGTGGGGTCGCTGCTCCTAACCCGGGATTTAGCAGGCTATCTTCTACAGGCTGGGTTTCAGTGTTCTGGCTCTCAGCGACGACTCCTGTGCAAGGACAAGGACCCGTCTCTCCTCCACCAAACACAGCTGGACCCCCCCCCCCATTCTCACCGGTCCAAGGAGCCTCAACAGCTTCCTCCTGCTCTCAGGAGGGGTCTACCTGGCCTCGAGGAGGGGGTGGGGTCGAGAGTGCCTTGAAAGAAACCTTCAGCTAATGCTCTTTATTACAAGCGTTAATCCCGCAAAGCCGACTGGAAATAATGTTTATCTTTTCGCAGTTTAATTTTCCGGACCCTAAGCCTCAGGTCAGCGAGGGCGACTGGAATGTCCCCAGGGAGACCAGGGGGTGGGACCAGCTGTTGCCCAAGAGCTAAACCCAGCGGGGAGGGGATCTCCCAGGCGGTGGAAGAAAGGGTGGGAGGGCAAGCAGAAACTGGGGGGAGGGGGGACTATGGAACCCGAATAGAAAGCTGAGATCGGTCCCTACTGGGAAGCCTGAGCCAGGTTTTCCCTCATCTGAAGAGGTTAGTGGTTTTGTAATTAATGATTTTTAAAGACCCTTCTTACTCCGAAGGGGTCTTTTCTCTAAAAAAGAAGCCTGAGCCGGGCTTGCTGCCTCGGTCCTCTCCATTCCCAATTTCCATCTCCAAAGGTCCCCTCTGCAGCCTCCAAAGGCTTTAAAATCACCTAGGCAAAGGGCCTTTCTAGCCCCAGACTTCAGACTATCTAGCACCCAATCTGGTCTGCAGGCATCACCCAACTCGGCAGGTTGTGCCTTGGAGTGGCCCAGCCTGGGGAGAGGGACTAAGGATCAGGCCCTGAGACTCACATCCTTTCCTCTCTCTTACCCCAACCAACCTTTCAGGTCCCTCTAGGGCTCTGCGGGTCCAACTGCCCCTGCGAAGAGCTATGTTTTATTGACTAAAGTGGAAAACCCTAGACCTGAGACCCACGCCCAGTCTGCACCACATAGATACATAGGCGTCTTCAACCTCCCCATACAGCTCCCACTCTGGACAGACTCTCCAGGGAACAAAGCCCCTATCCTGCCTGTTAGTTCCCACTGGTTGACCTGTACTGGAAGTGTTTGCTGACATTTAGGATTAAAAAGAAAATATTCCCTCTGTGGGTCCTCTGGACCCCTCAAAACTGCCAGACTTGGCTGCTAGGTTCCACGGAAGTGGCCAGACATCCCCAGCTCTGAGCCAAAGCACAGTCAAGTTTATAACTTCATCATCTCTAAGAAGTTTACAATCCCAATACCACCTAGGAGCAAAAGCTGCTCCCCAAGAAATATCCTGAGTCTCTCTCTCTGCTCTGGTGCTGGCTTTCAAAGCTTTGGGTTGTTCAGTCCAGGATGCCACCTCCAGGACCACCTCACTGTAGGTGGCCTCCTCAGTTTCTCTCTCTGCTGTTAATGAACTGAGGTTTGCAGTCCAGGACCCCATTCCCGAAAGCTTTGGAGGCCTTGCATGCCCCACTCAAGCTCCACCGTACTTTTCCCAGCTCCCCAGGCATAGACAGGCTGCACAGTTTGGGTTCAGCGAGGTTATTTTTAAAGTCATAGGTTGAGGAGGGAAGAGGACACACATGGTCCTTAGAGACCTAGAGACTGGTTCAGTAAGGAAGTTACAAAGTGAGCGGCCCGGGTGGGGTTGGGTGGGCAAAAGGGGAAGCTATAAGACCCTTGGTCCAGAGAAGGAAGAGAGGCCTGCGGAAAAGCCAGCGTTAACCCCCTGGGCCTTATTCAAGGTGCCTTGCCACCTCTCCTGGGCATCTGCCCACCAACCCCAGCCCTGCGTGCAAAGATGGTTGCTAGAAGGGGGTTCAGTGTGTTTGCCTCAGGCAAAGTGAAAACTTCTGGTCCCTGTCAAAGTCTGGAAGCTTCTTAGCATGGAGGTGAATCCAAAAGTGGCATTTCCAAAATTCTTCTGCAAATTGCAGCCATTGCGCTAACCTGCTGAGAGAGGAAAGGTTGATTAAAACCAGGAGGCCCTTGGCCATAATTCCTAGAAAATCTGAGGTCAGCCAGTGTCCTAGCCCAAGGGAAGCCAAGGTCTAGAGGCAATTTGCTTGTCAGAGGTAAAGCTTGGACCAGCTATGTGTAAACTCACATAACAATGTAACTCAATTTTCTAAGCCAAGAGCTAATCCTGAGAGAAATTACTACAAAGACCAGAATCTGACATAAATCATTGCTGGAGGCTGCCTAGTGCTTGGGCAATGGTCCTTTGTGAGAATGAAGTTCCCTTCCATTAGGCCTTAGCACGCCAGAGGCAGGGGACATTTAATGACAGACTTACCCTGCTGGGGGTCAAAACTTCGGAGGTATCTCCAGGTATAGCAGGGAGCTGGGCTTCTTAATTATAGACTACAGGGCCATGCCTGCACTGCCTAGGGGTTTAGTGGCCCACCAGAAGTTGTACACTGACCAGTAGCCCACAGCAGGCCTGGCCCACCCCCTCAGCTAGTTCCAAAAGGCAGCTCTAGAAAGACCAGCCAGTCCTAGAAATGCTTGGCCCTGGTGGGGTACCAGGATTAGCAGGGGCCAGCTAGTCTTCTAGACAGGTAGACAGGGGACAGAGGGGCTTGTGTGGAGTGACCAGGTCATGCATGCCTGGTGCAGTTGACAGACCAGTGGACCTGTATGCACAGAGCTAGGCTGTTCATTTCTTCAAGGACTATGTGATCCCAGGGAAATTATTGTCTCTCTCTGAGCGGATTATTGTGATTTGGCTTTAGACTGAGGGAAAACAAAAAGCAATAGGTCTAAGCATCCCTGTGAGCTGCTGAGGACAGTGCCCCACCAGGTCCGGGGAAGGCGACGGGCAGGTAGTCTTTTGGACAGACATTCCCAGCACCGCTGGGATCCCACTACCTTCTGCTCCAGACGGGTACTGGCACCGTATTGCAGGCTCCCTCCGCCTCGGGCACGGTGCACAGTTCAGTGGCAGCCCCTGCAAGGCGAACGTGGAGTTTCCAAAGGCTTTGACTACGCGGGAAGCCTCCTCGACATCCGAGTCCTGGGGGACCCCCAGTCGCTTGCTGGAGCTGGACTGTCTGGGGATCACGTGGCACCCTGGGCTTTGTGCCCTGGGCGGGGTTGAGGGTGTATCTTCCACAGCTCTGGAAGACGCAGTATGCGCCAAGGACCAGATGCGGGGTTTCTGGCCGCAGGGGTACTGCATGATCATAGTGGGGCCCCTCGGCTCTGCAGCAATGAAGTCAGCTTCTGCCGATCGCTGGGCCTCACTGAAGGAGAAGCTTGGTGCCGCCAGGCTACACTCCCTGCTCTCCAAGCAGCCCTCTGGAGCTGCTGTGCAGGGCACCCGCAGGGACCTTGCGCTCTTATGACACCCTGCCAGCCTGTCCGATGCTGAGGCCGCTGCCTCCTCTTCGCCCACGTCCTCCTCTTCCTCCTCGTCCTCCAGGTCTTCTAAGTCACTCATCCGCAGCCCCTGGGCCTCCTGACTGGCAGTGGCATCTGCAAGAATCAAGAGCGAGTGAGAAAAGCCCAGTACCCAAGGGAAACCCGCCGGAGGGCCCCAACTCGCAGAAGCTTTTAGCAAGTGGTGCCCAGCATAGGGAGCATTCTCCGAGTCTGGCTGTCCCATCCCTCTAGCTTTACCCAAGGGAAGAATTCCCACCCCGCCCTTCCCCACCTCTCCGTCTCTCCTGCAGTGCTAAGTTTAGCAAAGGCCCCTTTCCGCTGCTGGAAAGGGGGAGGGATACTTTTCTTCCAACTTCTGCACCCTTGTGTGGCTGGCGTCCTGTTATTTAATCCAGCAAATGTTTACATGTGCGTGAGGGGCATCATTTCAGCACGAGAGGTTTAGGAAATACAGCAATAAGGTGTCTTCCAGGGGAAGGTAACCCTTTATAGAAAGTAGACAGGGGCTGAGTGCATAAATTGTCTCATAGTGATAATGTGGTGAAGGAGAGAAACAGAACAATCAATCCAGAAGCTACTTTAGCTTCAATGAGGAGGGAAGGTCTTTCTGAGGGGACACTTTGAAGCTGAAAAAAAAAAAATAATGTTTGAGTTTCACTGAGAGGCCTACTTGCAAGGGCCCTGGGCCTTGTACTGCATGTAAGGGCAAGGGTAAGTGAAGAATCCTCCAGAAAAAGTATCCTACAGGTGATTTTCGATCCAAATGTTTGATGCTGACTAAACCTGCCAGGTGGGCTCGTAAATGTTGAGTACCTTTGGTGTCACCGTTTAGGCAGCCCAGAGAGTCCTCGGCTCCACCCTCTGTTCTCCTCTCCTCCCCACCTTTGTTCTTGGGCGCCCACGTCATCTTGTTCTCCTTCTTGAGGCGCCGGCGCGCATTGGCAAACCAGGTGGACACCTGGGTGAGGGTCATCTTGGTGATGATGGCCAGCATGATCTTCTCCCCCTTGGTGGGGTACGGGTTCTTGCGGTGCTCATTGAGCCAGGCCTTGAGAGCGCTGGTGCTCTCCCGGGTGGCGTTCTTCCTGCGGCCAGCCCCACTCAGCTCCATCCCACCATACCTGTGGGCAGACAGGGCTCAGGTTCCAGGTTGGGAACAAGGGATTTGGGCAGCCGAAAGTGAGCTGCTAGAAAGTGTGGTCCGGCTCCCACCCCTCCTCCTCCTTCTGCCCACCCATAAGACCATAGCAGATAGGGGGTACTCAAAGGAGGCCAGCCACCATGTTCCCCACTCCTCACCTGTCATAGTGATATTGCCCCAGAGTTGGTTCATAGGGGTAATAGGCTCCTGGTTGGGTCAGGCTAGGGGTAAAGCTCCTAGTAGCATCCTTAAACTCATACTGAGGATTCTGATGGGAGAGGAAAAGTGAACTCAGGACTATACTGGGGAAGGGCACAGGTGCCCCTACAGGCTCAACACCCCAGCACCATCACTTTCATTGGTTGTTCATCCCTAGACACAGCGGTTTAATCACACTGTGCCTCAGTTTCTCTCTTACTAAGATAGAGATGATAAGGGTATCCATACTGGTGAGTATTTGGCGGAGCCCTTGGGACAGAATAAGTGATTCAACATTAACTACTGTCTACTGTCATAACCCTGACTTCTGGGTTCCCCACCACATATATACTTACTGGGACCCTTCCCAAAGTCACTCCTTCCAGAGTGTTCATCACTCTTTAAATGCTTGTGATCTTGGCTAAGTTAGCAGAATCCCTCTGCACCTCAATTTACTTGTCTACAGATCAAGAATAGTGGTGACTTACCTACCTTACAGAATTAACAGAATTACAAATATTTTCTAAGTGGTATGGAGTTCTGCAAACTGTAAAGTGTTCTGAACTTGATCTTCTTCTCCCTTGCTTACTGTACTATTTCTTCAGAATTGTGTGTCCCACCTAGATTCTACCTGGACTAGGTCATGCTAGAATTCATCTGCGCTGCTTGCCAATGACCCCAAACCCCAGTGTTCAATGGCAAGCCCCAGGCCCCACCCCATTACTCACAAGAGCTCCACACAATGGGGGTGGCTCTGGACCATAGGGCAGGTACCCAGGGTAGCTGGGGGCAGCTGCAGCAGCTGTGTAGGGGGCTCCATAGATGCCCAAGGCAGGGCCCAACTCTGGCCGTGCACTGCCCAGCAGCCGACTGTCATAGTGTGAGCAGCAGAGAGCGGATGCTGGGGAGGAGGCTGAGGCCACATCTGAGACAGAGCAAGGGGCCGTTTCGCAGCAAGTGGCACTGGAACTTGCAGACACCAGAAACTACAAAAAAGGGAAAGGAGTCATGGGAAGTCAAAGACCAGATGCACCATCTACTGGCTGGAGCCAGAGGAAAGTCTGAGGGAAGCAGGGAAACTGCTTCATGCTTTCACCCATCCATTCTAGATAACAACCACCACCAGGTACAGGAGCATTCTGTTAGTTGCGGGATTAAGAATTTTTTTAATAACAACTTATCCAAACTTTTCTTACAGATTCACCAAGGCTATTGCTAAATTCCAGAGGGGTTCTGGATATAACATGGGTCCAAATTACTACCCCTTCTCATGGAGTACTGCAAAGGCAGAGTTAGAAGTTAGCTTTTATGACCATTACCAACATCTCATTCTGTCCCCACTGTGTCCAAAGAGAATCTGTCCAAAGACTCCAAAGACTACTCTCCCGAGAGTAGGAAACCTGTCCAAGATCCCTCTTCAGGTCAAAGGTCGATCTGGCACTAGACCCTCAGGAAAATATATTAGGCACTCTACTCTGTTGGAGAGCATCTTGGGCCAGTCCAAGAAAGGAGTGGGTGGGGTCTGAAAAGAGGTCAACAGATGAACAGCAGTACAGTGAGGTGGCCAGCGCTCTGGATTGGAAATCTTTTTTTTTCTCTCCTGAGAGTCTCCTGGCCACCTCAAGCATCTATACAAGAGGGAGTCTGACTAGACCCTTAGATCCCACCTCGCTGAGTGCAAGGTCAGTGTGCCGGCGTTGGGGGCACACGATTTTCCAGCATACACTCAAGCAGAGACGCTCTCAATCTGACATGGGGTTGGTTAAAGGATGCTGATGCTTAGAGGATGCTTCAGCACATTTCCCGGTCCTCCCTCCCTCTGTCTTCCCACAGGTCACCGAAAGCAGGAAACTCAGGGATCAGCGCAGCACACATAGGGGCATCCCTTCGACCCAGCCTGCCCTCCTATATCCTATACTGAACTACTCACCTGGGAAGCGCCGCCGTACGGGTGTCCAAAGTGCGGGAAGGCCATAGCAACTGACTGTCCTGACCTGTCTCCCTCTTCCCTTCTGAGTTCGTTGCTCAGCCCCACGGTTCGGTACCCCCAGCCGAGCGGCGTCGGGTTTCCTTACTCCGTAGCAGGTGCGGGACGCCGGTTCCTCTGCCCGCTGGGCGTGGCTGGAGGCAGAGCTGAAGGCAGCCCTGCTGCCGAGCCCTGCGCTCTGGAAGGCGCCCCTGCCGCCCGCGGGGTCCCGAAGACAGTAGGGCCCATGGGTGGGCAAGGTTAGGAAGAAGGCGCTGGGTGCCAAAGGCGCGCGGTGGCGAGGTGAGGCGCCGCTCCACGCGGGGCTGTGAGGCTCCCGAGGTGTCCCAGTCCAAGGTGGCCAGAGGCTCAATGTGACATCACGGTAATCCCGGGCCGCCAGAGGGGACCCCGGGCCCCGGGGCCCCGGGCCACCAAGCGTGCCAAGAGCAGCCAGCCCGTGTGTGCACGCGCGCACTCTCAGCCCCACTCTCCTAGCTGCTGGAGGTTTGTGCTGCCCGAGAGGAACCTCAAAGACCCTGACCCTAATGCTCGCCTCTGGATCCTACCTGCTTTCGCCGCAAGCTCACGCGTGCACACACATAGACCCTCTCCAAATTCCCCAGGAGAAGCCGGAGAAACGCCTCCCTGCGCGCTGCGCGGGCCCTGGGCGCTACGCGCTCCCCTCCTCCCCTGCGGCCCCTTGGAGGCGAGAGGCAAGAGGGGCGGTGAGGGAGGAGAGAATACAAAAGAAGGGCCGGGAGGAAAGTGGGGGAGACAGGCAAGAGGGAGAAGGAGGAGGGAGAGGAGAGATGTGGAGTCTGAGGCGGGTGGGGAGTGGGGTGGGCCAAGACTGGGCGGAGGCAGAGCCCTGGCAGGTGGAGGAGAGCAGGGGCTTGGGGACCAGCCTCCCACTCATCTCCTCCGCCTCTCGACTGCACCAAAGTTTGTTCGCCCCGCCGACCCCGAGCTCCTTGGACCAGCTCAGGGCAGCGTAGATGGAGCCTTCTGAACAGCCCATCTTTGTCCTTGGGGATCTGGCTAGCGTCTCAGTCTCCTCAAACCCTTGGCTAATTCTGGTCCTGGCCAAATCCTTGACCCCTGGGGCATCTCTGCAGCCGCCTGACCCTCGGTTTGGCCGACGAGCGCCCCCGCCAGGCCAAGATGCAGGATCCCTCGGAGCTTCTGGAGACAAGCCAAGACCGACCCCTGGCATCTCAGGCCTGCGAGCTGAGACCGCGGGGCATCTCTGCGGAAGGCCAGGCTTGGCTGCCTCACGCGCAGCCCGCCGCGTCCGGCGAGGACACATGGAGCGAGAGGAAGGCAGCAGGGACCGACTGCAGCCTCTGCGCGCCTCTGGGGGTGGCGCTGGCGAGCCGCAGTGGAGAGCTCTGGAGGGAGGTCCATTCCAGGTGCTGGCCGGAACACCGACACCAGACTGGGCCCAGTGGAGTAACAACCTCCTCCCCGGGGGTCCTCAAGAGCACGATGCGCCTAGTTGGGGGGGGGGGCATTGCTTGCCTGGTTCCCAGACAAGGGCGGCAAGTTTGTAAGTGCTGTAGACATTGCACACACCTGCGAGCTCAAAGTCGGTACCCAAGACCCCCTGAGGGTTCGTGACTAGATGCTTGGGACAGAAGGAACTTGTATCCTGGAAAGGGACGGTCTTATGAGGGCCTGGGCACCAGGACACTAGAACACCAAGTGGAGTTTGAGACTCCGAAAGCCCAGATAGTCTTTCAATTGCCAGGTTATAGTGCAGTGTGCCTGACAGTTTGTAAACAGCCCTCTTAGGCCCCTGCTGTAACTCCTCCAGGGATCTTGGGGATTTGTTCAAGGCCCGGGTTTTGCTTTCTAAATGAAACACAAAGCTGTGTGGCTCAGAGGGTAGGAACAGCTTTAGGTTCTTGCCAGAAGGAGGGAGCCTAGCAACAGGGGTGAGGTCAGGAGTCTCTGACAGGAAACCCCTCACCACTAGCTTGTTTTGGGCACCTGTGGACCAAGCCAGTGACCCCTTTAGAATGACATAGCTAGCTCAGCACTTGCCCACTTCTTACAGATTCTGCAGAACCTCGAGGAATTTAGAGGCCACAAACCACAGATGAATCTTCCTAAGAGATTACTAGTGAGGACCATCTTCCTCTTAATACTGACAAACCCCTCTGCTACCACGGTTACCTTGGAGAAACCTTGCTTTCCACCTAGTTAGAAAAAGAATTATAGTCATTGCCAGATTGATTTAGTGATAAAAATTCACAGTAATAAATAGATCCCTTGATTTTTTTCAAAATCCACTTTGGAGCAGTTCACCCGTTTATAGCCTGGGCACATCTAAGCTATTTATTTTTTAAAAGGAGGAATTGGAAAGTATTCATTAAATTAGTCCCTTGGGGAAGATTACTACTAATTAATTAATTGCAAACATTTCCAGAGGGAAGCTATGTCAATTGTAAAGTAATAAAATTAGATAGTTGAGATACTTACTCAGCAACTTTGATTGCCCATTCATTCCTAAGCAGAATTCTTTTTATGACACAAAAATGGGGGATGTGGTGGAGTGAAGCATTAGCCCTGTCCCCGGGTGATATGGTTGCAAAGCAGAAACTACCTTATAGGATTTATTGATTTTCCAGCTGATTTATAAGACTCTGTGGTATCAACGTTGTGTGCAGGGGCTCTGGGCCTACCTCTCATCTTTGCTTCTAGGATGTGAGAAAAGCAACAAGATTTTTGAAAAGGGAAAAAAAATATGGCAAAATAAATTGGGAAGTAGGACTGACCACACATGAGGAGCGTGCTTTGTTAAGACTCTTGATCTGTTGTCTTCAAAGTTGCTTTATGTTCGATGGCTTTTATCAGGATGAGTCACAGGGAGGACAGTCTGTCCTGTCCCTTCTGTTCACAACCTTGGGAGACCTTGATTTAATGTATCCTTCCTAGGGACAGCACAGCAAAGCCCCCTGTATTATGATGGCACTTGTTTGGCATTTAGTGGGATTCCCTAAAATGGTTATTATGAGACGCACCTCATAAGAACACAAAAGCAACAATTTAAGTCCATTTCTGCCTCTGGATTCTCTGAACCCTCGGGTACAGAGAAGTCTATTTCTTAGAAGTCCGATTGGGGATTCTGTAGTAAAACTCGCTCTGGTCTTCCATTCTCTTTCCAGACTCCAGCTTCCGCAGCCCCGTGCTCTGGGCTTTTCCATCATGTTGGCTTTTCATTGCTTTGTTCAACACTGATTAATTTATTTTGGGGGGAAAATCCCCAATTGTATATATATGTGCACATAGAATTTTATTGAAGCAAGTAAATAAACCTATCAAATATAGACCCTCCCAGTTATATTTAAGAGAGTCATTCCATTGAACATCTTTTGAAAAAAAAAATGATAGAGGCGCTTTTGTTGTATCGTGCAACATGTCTGTTAGTCCCTCTAGCTGCTCATTAAAACTAATATGAAACAAAGTAAACAAAGGCCCATTCAGACCATAGAGAGCACTAATCCACATTGCTTATTTGAAGCTCATATTGCTTTGTGTTAAGTGCACTGAAGTTCTTGAGCAGGCAGGGTAAAGGATGTGTCTGACAATGAACTGGATGAGAGGTACCTCCAAAAGGGAGAAAAAACCAACCAAACAAAGGCAAGGAAAAACAAATCATACTCTATTGTTTCGGATTGAAAAATGTCCGTGACTTCCTAGTGATTTGGAAGAACATCAGATTTTACAGGAAGGCAAATAGCAGCCACCAAATTAGTTTTAAAGGTTTCAAATTACAGATAGAATGAGTGAGTTCATAGGCATAATGACATAGTGGAGAATATGCTAAAATACACCTTTTAAAGTACAGAGTATTTTTAGTGACTGTTTTTGAACTGAGAAGAATGAAATTTCCTCCAATCTATGCATGAATGAACAAGTGCATCTGGACAGATGCATCCATAATTTATACTCATCAGTCACTGCAGGTCTCCCCAAGTAAAGCCGAAATGAACACTAATTGTTTTGACGGAAATAGTGTGCATGGCATCTGATTGTGAAATGCAAGTCCCTGCCTTACCTGCCTATACACTTGTCAACAGAAAAGCTGGCATCAGGAGAGGAAATAAAAAGCAGTAATTCCCAGGCGAGGGTGATGATGCAGCTTGTCTGGAAGGTAGCAAAAAGAAAGAACTGACTTCTTCGAGATAAAGTATACAGTGGAACCAGATGCCTGCATCTTGGTTTGTCAGCATTATAGCTGGCTTAGCTAACAGGGATAGCTTGGAAACAATAGCCAAATCCTTTTGTATTGTGTGAGCTTGGGAATGTTCCCAGGCACCCACCTCTGCTTTATCTTATTAAAGGCTCATGAGAGATGAAAAGCAAGTCCCCGAGTCCATGTAGCCAAGCAGATGACAGAGAAGGACCCGAATCCAGACCTCTTGATTTGGGATTATTCTGTAAAACTGTATTCCACATGCATACAAAGTCACATACAGACAGGAGAGGTTGTTGACTCCAGCTGAACTGTCCAAATTCACATTTAGTGCCTCACAATGAGTGTCATTTAGTAGAGAAAAATCTGAAGAGATGTTACTGTGAGCAAATGAGTTCAGAGAGACTTCCACACACTCAGTATTCCTCAGTCTCAGGAAAGGGCTTACTTACATAATAACTTGAGGGTTTCAAAATTTTCATGTGGCCCATTCATTAAGATAGTGAACAGCAAGAATATCCACCTGTAATTAATGCGTATATAAACACAAAACAAAAAAAGGAAGAATAAAAGAAAGACCCTCCTTAAGCAATCGAACTAAGATTGTATCTGTACATCCATAATGGATTTAAGAAACAGTGATGGAATTTAGTAACTGATTCTTTTCACCAAGAGGACCTTTTTTAATCTTTGATTTTTATATCACTAAGCTGAGGCTTGCTGTGTTAACGTCTCACTTCCTGATTAGTCTCCACACACAGCAATTCTTGATTATTTTTGTTCTCTGTATGCTGACATCTTTCTAACAATAGGCTCAGGCTTCTGGTATGTTTTCAAGGAATTAAGCTTTAAAGTAAA